TGGTCACTGAGCCTGTTCTTCGTCAGGGTCTGTTTCTGTTTGCTGTTATTTATCTTGGTTAAATATTCGGCTAGTGTGTATTGCCTGTCTAGAACACATTTGTTCTCTCGAGTACATTGATTTAATTATGTTGTACGCTTTACCCCCTATGCCACTTTGAAGTAGTTTATAAAACAGTCCTTTGTGCCAAATTGAGTCAAATGCTTTTTTGAAATAGATTAAAGCAGGCAAAAGAAATGTCCCTGGTCTTTTTGCTGGACATGTTTGTCTATCAGTGTGTTTAGGGTGTAAATGTGATCTGTGTGCGGTAAGGAAGGCCAGTATTCGTGTATTCAGGAAACTGCAGAATACCTTCCCCAGGTTACTGTTCACACAGATGCCCCGGGGAAACATCCGGCTGTCATGCTGAGATCGAGGAGTTTGAGCAGGTCTTGCTGCTGTGTCCCAGCATCTCGTTGTTGACTCCCTCTTGGCCACAGGCTTCGCGTGGTCTGAGGGCCTGGGGTTTGTCCAGTAGCTGCTGCTCAGTGATGGGGGAGTCCGGGGGGTTGTGGTTGTCTTTGCCAGTTTTTCAGGGGTGGTGTTCTGTGCTCGGGTGTGAGCGGCTCTGTGTCTCTCTCAGCTCGGACTCGGTGAAGCAGCGCACGGACGTGTTCTACCTGCAGCCTGAGCGCTCCTGCGTGCCCAACAGCCCGCTGTGGTACTGCGCCCAGCCGCTGGAGCCCGAGACGCTGGAGACCATGCTGACGCGCATCCTGATGGTGCGGGAGGTGCACGAGGAGCTGAAGAAATCGCACGCGGACTCGCCCTCGGACGACGAGGCTGCTGGGTAATGGCGCCCCCGGACCTCTCGCTCCTGCAGCTGCTGCGCGCCCACGCTCGGGGTGCCCTCGCAGGCGGGGGGGCGCCGCCCAGCTCCGCCCGCCTGGACAGAGACTCGGACACAGTCCGGGAATCGAGCTGGAAGAGTCCGCTCTTTGCGGGCCTGCCGACCCGGGTCGTGGTAGTGCAGTGGTACCATACAGTCCGGTACACACCGGTACCGGCCGGCGGGCGCTGTCACGGCGTACTCTGGGCCCAGTGGAGCCCGGACAGGCCATCTGGGTCGCTGGTTCCTGTGGTGCGGACTCTCCCGGCGGGGTTTGGGACTGGCGCAGCTTCTTTCCCGGGTGCGGTGCCGAGTGGGCTGTGGGTGGGCGGAGCAGGGGCTGTGGGCACAGCACGGCGTGCTGGCGGGCGCCGGTCCCTCTCTGGGGGAGCCCCCGACAGACCCCGCGCATCCGCCGGTCGGTGCCGCAGTGTTTCTGGACAGGGTCTCGGGTCCCGTTACTAAGGGGTAGCCCGGAGTGAAGCCCTTGTGTCCACCATGTGACTGGACTTCAGTGAGGCGGCTGGTCGCTGCCCGTGTGTGCCCAGCCCCAGCGATGACACTAACCTACCCAGGTAGGGCACGTTCTGCAGTTCACCACTTCTCTCCTTTCTGTAATCGTGTCTCTCCTGCACGTATGTGACGGGTATTCCTCGACCCAGAAACTCCCATTAAAAGGTGTTGGATTGCTGCCGGTTCGGGTAGTCTTCTTCCAGCTGTAGTGCCTGCTGCCGGATGTTGGTGTGGTGAGTGGGTCAGTAAGGTGTTTTTTAAAACCCGTTTCACCCTGGGGTGGCGGTTCTGCTTGGTGATTGGAGATCTGACAGGCGGCCCAGCAGGTGCTCCAGCGGGGGGGGGGGGCCGGCGTGGCAGATGCTGGACCTACGTGTGAAGTAGCCTGTAGAAGCTTTGCCCCGTTTGTGAGCCGGGTGGGGGGATAGCGGAACGGGGGCGTGGAGCTCAGGCGCGAAAGGAGGGCGCGCAGCACCGCTAATGCTGAACCCTGCCGAACTGGGGTTCACCCTCACCCCCCTGGGGAACTCGGGGCGCAGCGCTGCTGCTCTCTGCTCGGGGCTGCGGCTGAGCCACCGCGTTTCCTCCGCTCCACTGCCCTCCAGCCCCGGGACGCTGAGAGGCAGCAGCTGTGGGGGGTGAGGTGGGGGGCAGTGGGGTGTCTTGGGTGGAATCTGGGGGGGGATAGGGTGGGAGGTGGGAGCTCCTGCTCTTGAAATAAAGGAGGGAGTTCATAGTCGCTGCTGCTGTGCGTTTCTGTGGGTGGAGCCAGTCGACTGGGAGCCTCATGAACTGTAGTCGGGGGGGAGGGCGGGGGCAGGCAGGGAGTGCAAGACTGGTTTTGTAATGTTTCTTTTTTATATATAAAACATTGAAATCAAGCCTTGGTCTCTGTCTTTATCTGTGTTAATGTGGTGCTGGACACAGCCCTGGTCAGTCACGGTGGGGGAGGATTCTCTGGTAACTGGCACACTGCTGTGTGTTTCTGGGTATCTGGGATGAGGGGTGCAGGTGCTCTCCGTGTGTGTCCAGATACCCCTCCCTCTCCTGTCCGCTCTGTGTGTGTCCAGATAGCCCCTCCTTCTCACCATACCCATGTGCTGGTGCATCAGCAAAGATGCTGCATGGCGGCAAGGTCACAGACTCACACAGGGCCCTGGGTTCAAGAGAGAGCAGTGTTTATTTCCAGCCCTGTAGGCTGCACCTTGCACACAAGCCCAGCACATCCCAAAGCGCAGGGCTACAAAAAGTGCCATAGGTTATACATATACATCTATACACTGGTCACGTCTACCCCCCAGTCAGTAAGAGCTTGTTCCCAAAGAGCTCCGAGAGAATACATTCATGTAGCCGCAGCCAGTCACTCAGACCAGCGGGCGTGTGCGCGCAGAGGGTACCGGAGGGGGAATCCCCAGTGCTCCACCCTTTTTTCATTGGCCGGTTCGGGCCTGGAGCTGGAACCCAGGCCTCGGTTCCGAACCACAGCCTCGGGCCGTGAGAGAGCAAGCTCTCCGTGCAGAGCCTGCCACGTGAACTTCATTTAAATAAAGTACATGTGTGCAAACATGAATGCGCCTTGTATACAAACCAGCTGCGAATCACGCCAAACATGGCTGAAGGTCATGTGACCTTTACACTGAGACACGTGAGTTTGGTAAAAACAAAGCGCTGGACTTCAGATGTGCTTGAGAGAAATGCCACCGCCAGCAAGAACCAGACCAGCACACAAACTCAAACCCACACCAGAGCTAAACGCAGGTCAGCAGCACTCAAGCACGGGCTGCTCCTGCTTTCGAGTGCGGTCGCTCAAACTCCACAGCTACCACCAAAGAGCGCTCACAGCTGCTTTGAGAAACGATGGTCCGGTTTCTCTTCTGCAACCCAGTCCGCTGCTTCACTGTTAGGGCAGCAAAGCACAGACTGCTCACGAACACTTTCACACAACCTCCCAGAATCATCTTGAAAAATAAGCTTAGTGCATCATTACAGACATATGCTTAAAAAAAAAAGGCTTGACGGAAGTCCGAGACAGAAGAACAAGCCGCTCGCCTTTTGCACGGAAGTAGTGCCCCTCCCACCACCTGCAGACCACGCCCATAACAACCCTCCCAGGACATAGGGCACTCCCCTCCCTCTGCAGACGCTCCTGTAAGCATCAGGTATTCGCTGGTTTGAGCCCCAGGTTTCCTGGCTGCGAAGCAGGGTGTCCAAGCTGCTTGCGGTGACTGGGGTGCTCTGGTCTTATTCCTGCAGAGGCCAGGGGAGGACTGGCAGCCTGACCGCTTCCACTGTCTCTCCCCCGCCCCTCGGAGGCACAGGCAGCGGGTCGGGTCGGGTCGGGGGCAGTTCAGCCCCGAGACCGGCAGCAGTGGTAGCAGCACAGCTGTGAGCGCAGCCATGCTAATTAATGTGCATGACAGCCTGCTGGCTCACAGTAAACAAGCCAAAGGGAAACCAGTTCAGCAGCAGGAATCCCTGGCCTCGCCCCCCCAGCCCCTCCCCCACCACCCACGGCTCCACCCCTCCTCCCCCAGCCCCACCCCTCCCCTCCCCACGAGCAACAGGCAGACTCTCAGCCCAGCACGGAGAGGACCAGCAGCACAGCAGCCCTGCTCACAGTCACAGCGGCAGAGACGGGCACGAGGAATAACATCGCGACAGGAAGCGCCCCCTCCACTCACACGTACAGCATGACGTTGTCATGGCAATGCTGGCCATCCGCGGGGGGGTGCAGTCCACGGCACGTGTGCTGAGGGGGGGGGCAGGCACGGGGGCGCGGCGAGTCGCAGTCGTCGGAGGTCAGCTCGGCGATGTCGTCCGACTGCGTGTCCGAGGTCTCCAGGTCGCTGCGGATGCTCTCCGGCTGGGCCAGAGTGACGTCGCCACAAGTCCGGGAGCGCAGGGCGATCTCCCCCGGGGACTCCCCCGGAGACAGGGAGGCCCCTCCCCCTAGCAACGCCCCGCCCCTGCGGGAGCTGCAGTCTTGGGGCTCCTCCCCCTGCGCGGGCACCGTGACGACCGACACAGGGGCGGGGAGCAGGTCCTCCTCGCTGCCCCCACTCGAGAGGCGGATGTGACTCGGCTTGGTCTCGATGTCCACCTGTATCTCCAGGTTAGTACCCTCCCTGTCGAACAGACATTGTGACAGAGAGCACTCAGTAAGACAGCACGACGTCGGCTCTGCATCAGCGTGTTACTCATTACAGTATCTCATAGAGGCAAGTCAGTTCAGGGACTGGTCACTGTAAAACAAAACTGCTTCCCACAATCCAATCTGGCCGTCCTGCTCAACTCCCGCAGTGACCACCTGGCCACATGGTCAGTCAGAACTGACAGACTCCTGTTCACGTCCGAGCGCTGCTGTGTGGCACGCGACCGGGGGCCCCAGGGATCTGGGGAGCTTTACTGTCGGTAAAAGGTTTTCAGATGCGGCTGTGAATTCTAGAAGTACATCTCAATGACTGTGGCCTATTAAAGGAGAAATCTCTGGTCCTCAATACCCCAGAATGTATATATGTACGTCCCTAAACACAGCCATTACTAATTTAGACTGGAAAAGAAGTAGGAGGGCGTACACCCTAGTCCCCCATGCGATGCAGTTCTCCAGATGAGCTGGGCCCGGCCTGCCCTGGCACACTGACCGGCCCAACACGGCGCCGATCCCTCCCCAGCGCACACCGCACTGCGCCCCTCGCTGCTGCACATTTGCACCACACGGGCACTAGAGGGCAGCACAGGGCAGGAGCAGTCAGGTGACGATCTGGCTGCACTGGTCTCGCAAGACAATCCTGACGCCCGCCCACACTCTCTTGAGTTACTCACGCCTCCCCGGCTGAAAGTCCAGCCCTGGCAGCCGGGCCGAGGGAGAAAGGGGCACGGAGGGTCGGCTCACCGCTCGTGGGGGCTGTAGGCGGAGATGATGGACCCAGCCATGCCACGCGTGCTGGCGCAGTCGCTCGCCGCGCCCAGGCTGCCCGTGTCCCGCGACAACGCCTCCTTCGCCAGGTCTGCAGCCTGGACCTCCAGCCTGGCGGACAGACAGAGCAGCCCTGGGTCAGCCTCCACGCCTCTGCTGCACTGACCCTCCCCCTAACAGCGATGGCCCCCCTCAGTCGTACCTGCTGTATTTGCCCGTGCCAGTGCTGAGCGCCCCCCCAGCCAGCGTGTTGAAGCAGGGGGCGTCACCCAAGGCCCCTGGGGTTACCCCTTCGCTGGGGCTGGTGGTGCTGAGGCCACTGGTCACCCCCTCCAGACTGCTCTCACCGAGACTGGGGCTCTTCAGCGCCCTCCAGGCGTCCGCCACTGACCGACGGGTTACAACAGAGCAGACCGGTCAGGCAGGGGTCAGAGCACGGAGGACATCGGTGTGACCTGTACATCTGGCAGGCCTCTGAAGGGTCAGAGGTCACGAGACACAGTGCTCACCTGTGATCGGTCCATCGTCCTCGTCAAAGTCGATCTTGACACCTCGCCCCTTGGACCTGCTGACGCCACAGCCGCCCCCCCGGCACAGCGAGATGGGCACCACGCCATACACATAGGCCAGCATGATGGGCACGCCAATACCTGCCACAGAGCACAGGGCAGTGAGGGAACAGCACAGAGTCCCAGTGTGAGCAGCAGCACAGGCCAGTGAGGGAACAGCACAGAGTTACAGCGCGATGACTGAAAATATGGTACAACACCACTGTAATATCGACCACAGACTGTAGAAAACAGTGGTATTAGAGAGCAGCAATAAGAGTAATGTTATGAGTGCCGCTGTGTTGTGCTTTCAGAAGCCGTGAAGACAGTGACGTCTTGCCCACAGACCTGAGCTGAGAGAGGAGACGCAACGCAGGGCCCCAGCACAGACAGAGACCAGCGCGTGCCCACGCAGCGAGGGAGAGCGAGCGCTGCGCCCCCCTCCTGAGCTGCTCGGAGTCTCGTGATCATGGCCTGACAGGCAGGGCTGCCCATACTCTAACCCACCTGACTCGCCTCCCCGAGCTGCAGCTAGTGAACTAGGGGCCCCTTACTACCCACCGTAAACTCGTGTTATTTCTACTCCAGACATCACAGTGACTCAAAGATGACTGGACTGGTAAATATTAGCCCTTCGGGTCGCTGCAGAAAAGTTGGGGACGGCATGAAACAGGCGTGCCGTGCTGACCGCACTGGGGTCCCCCGGGCGCCTGCACTCACCCACGCTGACTGCGGCGATGACCGGGGCGGTGAGGACGGACAGGGCCACGCCCCCGGAGATGGCCAGGTTTCGCCTGTGCTTGGAGACCCTCTTCCCCTCGTAGTGGCTGTGGATCTGCGCGGGAGAGAGGGGGCAGGCGGTCAGTACCCGGGACGCCTGCTGCCCGGACACCGGCGGCTCTCTCCGGCGCGGCGCGGCCCCACTCACCTTGCGGCCCACGTAGACAGGGATGCCGATGAGCATGGCAGGCACGGCGATGCCTGCGATCAGCGTGATGCCCACCGGCGCGCCGATCAGGGTGCCCAGCTGCCAGACGATCTTCTTCTTCCGGCTCCAGGGCTTCTTGCCCCAGAAGGTGCAGCCTGAGGGGCTGAGAGAGAGAGGGAGAGGGCAAGTTCAGACGCGGCGCGGTGCTGCAGAGGCTGCCCTCCTGCCCCGGCGCCGACAGAACCGCACCTGAGGTAGTGCAGGTCCGAGATCTCCTTCATGCACAGCCAGCAGAACTCGCAGCCACACACCGCGCAGGTCATGTGATTGCAGCTCCCGTCGTTCATCTTGATGATGTAAGCACCACAGCGCGGGCAGGGCTTGATGTCATCAGCTGGAGACGAGGAAGGGACAGGGTGAGACCAGGCGTGGGTCGCTGAGAGGGGTACAGCTCCCTGAGCACACTGGACACCAGACATTGCAGAGAGAATACCAGGAACTGGACCATGGACAAAGGACACTAGACACCGCATAGAGGATACTAGACACTGGACTCCGGACACTGGACAGAGGAAACCTGGCACTGGACTGTGGACAATGGACACTGCACAGAGGATGCCAGGCACTGGACCACAGATAATGGACACTAGTCACCGCACTCAGGACAATGGATGCTGGACACACAGAGAGCCCAGTACCTGTTCCTTGCTCCTGGCCGTAGCTCAGGCCCGGGGAGTGTCCGCTCTGCCCTGGCAGCCGCAGCGCCCTCTCCTGGCGTGCAGAATCGCAGGTCTGATTGGGGTGCCACACCTGCTTGCAGTGGTAGCAGAACTCGGCCCCACAGCCTTCCCGCTGGCAGGAGAGCTTGGGGCAGCTGGCACAGCCATAAGCAATCACAGCATAGCTGTAGGAGAGAGAGATCAGCAATCACCACACACAGAGAGAGAGAGAGTTCCCACACCTGCCAGAATCACAACGGGTCCCAATCCTACTGGGAGAGAGAGGAGGGAACTCAGCTGAACTGGCAGCCCAGTATGCTATCTCCTGGCACAGCCTGAGGAACAGTGAGTCTGTCTCCCAACAATGCTCCATCTGTCTACAGTATATGTACATCATTTATAATGTCTTTGTTGTAAATGTCTGTAGATTTTATTTTACTTTTATTTTTTGTTTTGTTTCATGTGAATTTCATTATTTTTATTTGCTTTGGCAACACTGATTGTACCCATCTGTCATGCTAATAAAGCACCTTGAATTGAATAGAATTGAGATCAGCAATCACAGCACACAGAGAGAGAGATCAGCAATCACAGCACACAGAGAGATCATTCCATGCAGTGCGCTAACAGAAACGTGTAGGCCAGGAGTGGGGTATTTCAGATCGCCTTAATTACAGATCGACCGCAGTTTCCACTAGCAACAGTTGGCCTGCTTTCTGCACAGCATCACGGTTGCCCAGGTAACGGACAGCTCTGGGGACAGGGTGGGGCGGAGAGGGCATCTCCTTGCGGGCCGATTGGCTGGGCACAGCTGCAAGACTGGCAGGGAATGCAGCAGCGGGCCAGAGTAACGCAGCTGACCGCTGAGAGAGACTGGGCAGAGGGGGACAGCGAGAGGTGTGGCCGGAGACAGGGGCCGGCGGAGCCCTGTGCCAGTGGCAGGAGAGTAGACCAGTCCGCAGGCCAGTCCCATCGCGTCCCAGCACACCAGAACTCACCTGCAGTCAGGAGCTGGGCACCAGCGGCAGTCCGGGTCGGCCGCCAGGCAGCGGCGCAGGAGGAACTCCTCGTACTTGGCCAGCAGGGCGGCGTCGTCCAGGATGAGTCCCACCTGGCGGGGGGACAGGCGCTCGGCGCACTCGGGGCAGGACAGCTGCACACGGCTCTCCGAGATCTCGATGCGCAGGTACTGCCGCAGGCAGGGCAGGCAGGACCGGTGGCTGCAGCCCAGGATCTCGGGCACCTGCTCCGCCGGCTGCCGCACCAGGCACAGCGGGCACTCCAGCAGGCTGGGGCTCGGCTCAGGCGGCTCCGGCCCCGCTGCCGCCGCCGCTGCCGAGCCCAGGGAGCTGCGGCTGCCTGACAGGACCCCATCCGAGCCGGAGGGCAGCTGAGGCGAGTCAGGTGATCGGGCCGGGCCGGGCTGCGGGTGCGCAGGGGGCAGCAGCTGCGGAGGTGGCGGCGGGGCGCCAGCCGGAGTGGCACCAGTGCTGGCGCCGCTCTTGGCCCGCGAGGCCCGCTTGCTGTGGAACAGGCTCTGGAAGGAGATCCGCCGCCTCTGTCTGCCAGCGCTCCGGCACTTGGGGTTGGGAACTCCGCTGACCGAGGAGTGGGGAGACTGCGAGTCTCTCTCAGAGCCCATCACGGCGCGCGGCCCACCCTCTTCCTGTGGCGCGATCTGGTGCCCCGACACCAGAGGGCAGGCTGGGCTCTGTCTCGGCGACGCAGGCTCGATCAGCAGCACTCAGACAGGACAGCCCTCTCCCCCGGCCAGGAGACCAGACACACGGAGAGGCACTGATCCAGGAAGCGCCTCCTCTCTCGCTCACCAACCAGCCACAGCAGGACAGGAGGCTGAACCGTCCACACTGCAGCCCCGATAAAACTTCCTCCTCCTCCTCGTCTGCTTTTCTGCTGCGTTCTCTTCTCTCTGTCCTCCACGTTTCCTTTTCTCTTTTTCTTTTGTTCTCTCTCTTCCGCGGTTCTGCCGTCTAACTCTGGCTCTTCTCCCTCTGTCACACCTTTCGCTCTGTCACTCTGGAACCGAAAGTAGAAGAACAGGAAGTTATTACAGCTGAATCAGGTGTCTCATTGAACATGCTCCTGCTGAGACTCCTCCCCTCCCTCTCAGCTGTACATTAACCCCTCAGTGCAGCTCCTGCAGCTCCTCTCACTTGCACATTCATGGAGACAGCTGGGCCACTGCCAGGACAGAGAGAGACGGAGGAACAGTGATCATCCCCCACACTACTCCACTGTGCGCTGCTACTGCTGTTGCCATAGTGATCCTGACTGCGAGACAGCAAGAGCAGAGCAAACATCATCCCACACACACAGTACGGCACTCATCCCATTAATAACGACACTCAGCACATTAATCATGCACAACACAACACACCCAACACAAAACACAAACTGCAAACGCATGCAACAGCCATTTATTCCACACAATCCACACACAGTCCTACAGCACAACACTCCACACAGCACAGGCACAGCTCAGCGGACAGACAGTCTGTGCAAGAGGGAAGGAGGTTTTAGGTTTTATTTGGGCATTGAAATCTAGGCAAACAGAACCTCCCCCGACGCCCCGACCCCAGTCCAGATGTGGCCTGGCTCAGTGTGACTCTGTGGCGCACGCACACACACACATCTGCTCAGACAGGCCCAATGCCACCGGGCAGAGCCCCTTGGAAAAGACCCCCTCAAGACAGGACCCCCTGACGACACCCCTGCAGTGGAATTGGCTTCCTCTCTGAACCCCTGCTGCATGCTATGGGGCATGCTCACCCCCATGTGGACATTTCAGTTGAGCACAGAACAGTCAACAGAAACAGAAGGACCCCGAAAAGGAAGAGGTACAAACATACAGGGGTGTGTAAAACTGTGCCCGAGGCCTGGGACCTGTGCAAGCACCAGGAACCAGACACCTCTGACCGCACAGAAGCAATCAGTGGGGAACCCCAGGCCCCAAGAGGCACTGCGAACCCTAAAGCAGAGGTCAGCTACCCTGAATCATCTTGCGAACCCTAAAGCAAAGGTCAGCTACCCTGAATCATTCTGCGAACCCTAATGCAGAGTCAACATCTCTGGTGCAGAACCTGTCCGGAGTGCAGGAGCAGGGAGTCTGGCCGACTCTGCAGCAGCAGCCAAGGGAGCACAAGAGAAGCAGAGCCTCTGCAGGACTGGACAGGCTCCTGGCCGCTGGCTGCTGAGCCCCTGCACTCGACACCGAGCTCGTCTGGCTCTGCAGACCAGCACTCTGCTGCAGCGTTTGATGTGGCTTCGGCACTTCAACAACAACAGCCGGAGAGGAAAGACTGAGCAGAGTTACTGGCAGCCGCACTGCCGTGCCCCCCGCCCCCTCCACTGTCACACCTCCGACCCAGCAAAGCAGCCCGCCATCACAGACCCCAGGACAGGGACGGGGAAAGACCGCAACACTTCCTGGAACCCCAGGAACTTCACATGAGAGGAGCGATTCATCCCCTCCGGCCAATTGATCCCAGGATCTCACCCAGCTGTTTCTGGGAATAACAGGGTATCGGCTTCAACCACATGGCTGGGCTGCTTGTTCCACACTCCCACCACACTTTGGGCAAAGAACTGCCTCCTGTTCTCAGTTCTAAATCCTCTTCCCTTTGCACACCTCTGGCTGATTGCGCCAGGAAAGGAACAGCAGTGATCATCTCCTGACCTACCACAGGGTCATGTGAACAGGTTCCTGTGTACAAACCACAGCCACAGCCACCTTTACAATATTATTATTATTGTTATTAATTGCTTACACTTATATAGCGCTTTTCTGGA